TCACTGTATAATTCGATGACTGAGCTGCAGAACTCATTCAAGGCTTGTAATGATGTGCTTTTGGCGATTCGGATGTACTCGTCATTCAGATCGGCTGCCCCTCCATACGCAAGCATATGAAGAGCTGAAGTTATCTTCTGAACTGGGTACAGGCCTGGCCGACCCAAAGCATCACATTTTCGTTTGAAGTAGTGATTATGTGCAGTCACATCATCCACAATTTTCAAGAAGAGTGGTCTGTGCATTCGAAAGCGACGTCGTAAGAGGTAATCACCGTAAATGGGTTGAGGTGAAAGGTAGTCCTTGTAGAGTCGTTGATAACCTTCTTCGAATCCTCGGGGAAGATTTGGCCGACGTCCTGGTCGTGATCCTCCTTGCCTTGGTGGCTCCTGGTTTTCATTGTCTTCATCAAACAACATATGGATTGTGTCTGTTACAACAGTTTGGATATTGGTCGCGGTTGCTAGGACGGCAGCTTGAGTCTCGAGGATGGATTGGAGGAGTCGATGTTCCATTGGGGTGCTTGATTGATTGTGGTTTTGGAAATAGAGAGATATAGAGAGATGTGTGATCGGAGAGATGAGATAGATCGGGGGAAATGGATGAATGTTTGATGGGTTGTTGGGGAATGAGGATTCACAGATGGAAATATGAAGATTTAGCAACCACGGGTGGGCAGAAAAGCCGCCCAGGTTGCTATTGTTGAAGGTGTAATCCCTGTAGAAGGGAATACAAGCAGCAGTGTCATCAGTGGTGATGAGCCTGCTGCCACACCTGCTGAGCTTGGTGTATCAGAAAGCAATAAAAGAAGCAATGCACCAGAGGACTGGTGCATTCCCTTTAAGAAGAAAAAGTAATTCTTTACTTTCATCTTCTGAAAGCAAAAGTTTACTTTCCCCAGAAGAAAGTACACCAGTACTTTCCTCCTGGATAAAATGTCTCATGGAGCTTTCTCCACAAGAAAGCAGGCTGCTGAGACCAATGTCTTAGCAGCAATAATCTTGTATAAATATCAGTTCTCTTTTCCCCATTTTTGTATCTCTTACCCATTCACTTCATTATCTTATCTTAACCACTTACCAACACACACACACACTCACTCACACACACTCACCACAACTACCAATACCTTTGTACCCTTTCCACTCTATTATATTAGAGACTCACTACAATAAAATTCCCTCAAATCAAACCCCCAACAACAACACATTATCAGTACGGACTGACACCCGATCTCAATATCGAAAAAAATGACCGACTCAACTTCTTACTCACCTACCGCCCATAGAATACTGTTGAACGACAGTAACTATCAT